GAAGAAGAAGAAGAAGAAGAAGAAGAAGAAGAAGAAGAAGAAGAAGAAGAAGAATAACATGCCGATGTTTTGCGGATTTCATGCTCATGTCTTCGCTGCCCAACCGGTGGCAAGAGCATTGAACAATACCAGTAGCGATGGCCTCCAACCTGCCAGCGCTGGTCCGGTTTGCGTGGACGAGATAGCACAGATGCTAGCTTCGATCCTGTGGTTTGCTGCAGGACGAAGGCAGAATCCAACATGTCAAGTCCTGTTCCCGTTTGTCCCTAATCTCAGCACCTGTCCTGTCGACAGGCCGCGATCAGCACTGGGGAGGGCGGGAAACAGCACCGACCCGACTAAGCAATCAGCCCGCGAGACAGGCGGCAGGAGGAGTAATAAGCTCAGTAAAGCAGCAACCAGCACGTAAAAAAGGCTGGCAAGAACCAACACTGGGTCTAGTAGCAAGCAGTACAGCACAATTCCTGTTGAATATCCAGACAATTATATGTTCATTTTTGTGGAAAGAGAAACGCGTCGAAAGGTCTAAAGAGAAAAGACGAGTGGAAAAGAAGAAAGAACGAGATAAAGCAAGTCACATCTAAATCAAGAAAGTTCAAAGGACAATAGGGAGGCCATCGCTACTAGGGCAAGAAAAGCAAAAAAAGAAGGCCACCTTAGAAAGAAAAGAAACACGATTTTCCGCTTTTCTGAGGCCAAGTGCTGAAGCGTCAAGAGGAAACACTGCAAGTGGATTCGACTTTGTCGCAGGTGCCCAACAGTGAATTATTCAATATGACGACGCAACTGCAAAGATGCTTTGTGCAACGGTTTCATCTTAATCTTGTGGACATTTCAGAATTCGGAGATGGACATTTGTTTGAACACGTTCATCTTCGAGATTCCTTCGGCGTCTCATTCTATTGGTTAAAGGACAGCAAAGATTCCAAAGAGTTTTGGAACCTTAGGTGCATGAGAAGATTGAGCAGGCTGAAGAGGCAAGACGAGTTCTTTTGCGCTCACAGCGAAATGCCAAAATATTCTTTTGCAAGAACACTAGCAAGAGGAGAAAGAAGAAAAGGACGCTACTAGGGGCTCCTGGCATCGCTACTAGGAGCACGGACGCTACTGGAGATGAACATCTAAGGATGATGCCGGGCTTTGAAATCCCACGCACCGCCTCCCTACCGGATCTCATTTTTTGGAAGGTTGGTCATGCAAACAAGAAGCTTTGTTCAATTCCTTGCATGGCATGAGAACTCTCTGTCAACGTCAAGCCCGAGCTCTGCGCCGTTGCATGTAGCTGCTTTCTTTTTACTAAGCCTTGACCTAACCACAACTTCCTTTGCGACTCACTCCCTCTCCAGATTGCCTACCACCCCCGATAATATATAATATGATTACTTATCATGCAAGAAATGAAGACTCTGCATCCGAATGCATGAAGGTAGGTACCAAGCGGAAGCACATCTTCTATTGCTATCCATGTTAAGTTTCCCCAAATATCTAGGAACCAAATCAGTGCGTGAGCTATCCTGCATCCAGTTACTAGAAGCTATCTAGTCGCCCTTACTTAATGTAGGGCACCTACTAAGGGCGGGCTAAAAAAAAGGCAAAGAAACAACAAGAAGACACATTGCAACATCTTCTCATGCTTTTATCCCTTTGAGCATTGAATGGATCTGAATGGAGCCAATCTCCTCGTGCATCAGGCATTCCTTGCAACATCAGAGGCAGAGATGTCGCCTACTCAGCGAACCTTCGTCTATGACTTCGAATCCATTCATCGAGACTATGAGGTTTGCTATTAGGTTGGAGGCCATTGCTAGCAGTGTTGTGACAGTGACAGCCACAAGACGATGCAGAGACTGTGTTGAGGCCATTTCTGAAAGGACTAGAGGCAGATAGCACATGCAGACACTTACCCTGAAATTCGCTGGTTTGAGCGCCCTTTGGATCACTGTAGCTTTCTATGCGCTTGCTTTGCTTGTTTTCTTTTTTTCCCCTTTGTTTGAAGAATAAGACATGTTGAGCTTTTGTTGTGCTTTCTTCTACGGCTCGCAGGTTCTGCCTCTAGACGAAGGAGCGCAGGCTGTGGCACAGTGCGAGGCCTTGCCATGGCCAACCTCAACAAGTTTGTTGACACAAGACCTCCAACCTAATAGCAAAAGGAACCTACCTAATTAATAGCGATGGCCTCCAACCTACTGTTGACACAAGACATTCTTTTATGATTTTATATGTTTCTTTTTAGGCGGGTAGAAAGTTCGAGACCAAAAAGCAACAAAAAGCATTACAGAAGCATTAAAGGGCATAAAAGCAAGTGTTCCTGATATATATATATATAGATAGAGCCATCTCTTTCAGTGCGTAATCCTCGGGAGCTACACTGTCGAGATTGTGCTTGACTTTGGATGAAAAAGGCAGCCACCAAGAAGTGCGAAGCGGCACTGGAGTCAGCCAGGAGATGCGTGACAGTCGACAGAATATTCAATGGTGACCTACCAATCCACATTGTGCCTGAACAGAACATCATGCTTGAGGGCTGGGACTCTATTCAAGACAGACACCCTATGTGGCTGTTTTCATGGATAGGGTCATTTCTGCGCAGTGCTCAAGTTCGCAGGACCTTCATCAAAAAGGTTGAATCAGACTCCAAAGCCAAGTATTCCAAGGAGGTCTGACAATCGACGGGGCGGTCTGGATGTTGAATGTGGTTTCACTCGCAGGCCCAGCAGCATTTGATGGACGAATTGCAAAAGCCACATCCTTGGAGACATGTTTGGCGCCACATCACTAGTAGGAGGTTATCGCTAAGCATAGGTTTGTCTTGCCGCAATTGGCGAAACGCACGGGACTTGTTCGCCTAGGTGCCGGTCCAGAGGTGAAGAGACTGAAAAGAAGTTGAATGTCTTCAGGCGGGTTTGACTGACATGCAGACGCCACGTGTTCCGGTGTTTGGCCACGTGTTGTCGGGGCCTGGCAGGTCACGTTTGTGCACGTTCGCTCTTATGATTAACCGTACGAAGAGGTTAGAAGGCGACCTAAAGACCTAAGAAGCAGGTGTAAAGCACTAATCTCCCCAAAGACCTAAGAAGTGTTTCGAAAATGCGAAACATCCTTAAAAAAAGCTGCCCCACTTGAAGAACCTGCGCTCTACTGCGTTCTTCCTACGCTGCGCCCTCTTGATGGCGCGGCTCGAGAAAAACGACTTCAAGGAACTAGAAGCGATGGCCTCCAACCTACGAAGGATGAAAGGAATGAAGACAAGTCTTGTTAGCTGTGTCGATCGTGCTGATCCGGCTGCCGGCGTCTACCGGCCTACCGGTCACCCTCACGTGTGCCCATCATATCCTGATCGGCTGTTATTTTTCTCATTTGTGGCCAGCACCCGTAAAAGTGCATGCTTTGTGCTGGTGCAACTTGCATATTGCTTGCACTTGG